TACAGGTGTGACAAAAGTATTGGGATTCAAGACTGATTGCATTGTTTGATTGAAAAGGTGCACCGATAATTTTACTATTTAAAAAAAAATCATAACATTAGTTTTTAGTTTTCAGGGGTATGATAGTCATTTCATAGGACATATTAATTATTATAAAGATGAGTAAGAGCAACACAATCTTTTCACTTTTTGTTGAGTAACATGATATTATTATCCTTAAAAAGCAAAACTCAAACAAGTAGCTTTTAGGAGCATTCTTGAAGTTAATTAACTTTTAAATTATTTTTTAATTAGATTTAGTGTGTATTTAGAAGTGTGATTATAATTTAATTAATTTTATATATAATTTAGTTTTAGTAAAAAAATATTTTTTAAAAACATGGGTTGGCTTACATTTTCAAACACTTTTTTAATGAACTTTTTCATACCTCCACCCTAGTTTTTTGGTTAATAATTAGAAAAATGTAATTTAATATTTTAATAAATATAAAAAATAATAAATAAATAAAATAATTGATGTACCTGTTTTACACTAGTGAATAAGTTGCCCTACGGTATATAGGCAATGCATGCAACAACTTACAACAGCTAAAAAATGAATTTCTTTAATGTTTTTTGAATCATTACTGGGAACTCCATCATTGAGCAAGGAAGGTAGCTTAATTTCTTTCGGTTTGACATCAATTGATTTTTCTCTCTCTTTTTTTTAATTTGCACGCCTAACCTCTGGAATCTTCATTCTAGTCTTTTAATTTGTTTTTTTTAAATGATATTTTTTTAGTTTAATGAATTTATATAATTGAAATTTTTTCAATTCCATCCTCTTTTAATTTTTTTCTATTATATTTGGTTATTATTCTTTTGATTTTATTTAAGATAATTTTTCATTCTTTTAAATTAAACATGTGTTATATTTTTATCTTGCATAATTTAAATATTTTAATTTAACTTTCATCATCATTCTTTTGATTTTGATTAAACAAATTTAATATTTTTCATATCAGATTTTATCCTTATTTTTTTATTGTTATTTTTTATTTGCAAAAATTTTCATTTGTTATTTTTTTTAATTTTATTATTCAATATTAAATTAATTAAAAATTAAGTTTATTGTTTGAGTTCAATTATAAGATATGACGAGTTATGAATTTAAGAGATTAACTTAAGATTAAGTGATTCACTCATGTTTTCTTGTTTTTTTTCCTTTTTTTTTATACTCATCTTTTTTAGTTTTATCTTTCAATATTTTAATTTAATTAGAAATTGGGTTCAGTTAATTTTTTATATTTGCTTTTTACAGAATTTTCATGAATTTTAAAAATAACTTAGGTTTTCTTGGATCTTTCTATTTTTTATTATTTGTTAAATCTAGTTTTTCTTCTAAAACAAGAAAGTGTTATTGAATTAAGTTAAATTAATTGTTTACATATCAATTTTTTAATCTTTTTTAATTAATAATTGTTTTTATTTTTTGCTTTTAATATCTGGTTGATTATAATTGAATTTCCAAAATTTATTTTGATTTGTGTTCTATAGGTTACGGATGATTTTATACTCCGAATCATAAAATTTTATAGATTAATAATAATTGATATAAATCAATAAATACAATATATCAATACCTCAATATTTTTTTTAAAAAAAAAATTTAAAATATCATCAACTTAATATTTTAAAAATATTTCAGCCCATCAACTTAAAAATACCTTTTTACTTCCTGACATTTAACATTATTTTGAAGATCAGATAAAAAAAAATAAAAAATCCCAACGTGGGAACCATCAATTGACGTTTGACTGGTGGTTTTGTTGGCAAGCACTTGATTAAATAAATAAAATAAAAAAGGGTATCTAAACTGAAGATTTGCTAATTATCCTATGCTAATTTAAAGCACTTGAAGTACTTGGAATCCTACCTAAGCTAATCAGATTACAAGTCATTATAAGAAACAAAGAGGGAGAGAGAGTTCCCTTTGAGCTCCTTTTTATTTTTTTAAAAAAAGAAGAAGCATAGCGTAGTTTTAAAAATAGGATTGGCAGGCAGTAAAGCATGCCATAGAATATATATATATATATATATATATATATATATATATATATTCAAACCATTATTTCCTTGCTTTAAAAAGTTGCAATTATATTTATTTATTTATTTAAAAAAAAAAAACTCTTTAATATTTAATAAAAAAATTAAAAATTATAAAATTCATAATTCATTCATTCCTTGAAGCAAAATATAAGAATCCCAAATTAAATACGTAATAGATTTAGACGGGAAACAAGTATAGGAGCCCCGTTGGATGAGAGGTAGATAACATGAATATTATTGAGGTAGATAACATGAATATTATTGAAAAGAAGATGAAATTTTTTATTTTTATTTTATTTTTTAACAATGCATAATTATTATTAAAAACATCATGTATTTTGTTTATTGACCAGTGTAATTAGTATAAACAATACAAGCAACAATAACTTCTTCTTTTTTTCATTTCAACATAAAAATATTGTAGAATCCATAAATAATAAATTATATTTTTTTTTTATCAAATAGGTTATTTCTACATTTTAAACAAAACACACAAATACAACCTTTTAAGCAAACTCTGCCTTAATCATTTTCGAGATCTAATTATGGTACACTACCATATTTTCATTAACTCGTTCATTTTTCATGTTCATTCATTGTATATTTAATATTTCTAATTTAATTATTTTCTGTGTTCGTTTACTTTGATATTGACAATGCATTCTTGATTTATTTTCTTTCAGCTTTGCCGGTTTCAATTCTACAGCCTAAGCCCCGTAAACAATGTAATTGACATGAACAATGTAACATGTTATACTGTTCACTAAATAGTGTAGCCAGCTCCACCATTTTAATTCGATTAGTTCTGACTCGACCGGGTCCGATCCAAAACTCAACATACATTAAACTTGGTCCGATCCAGTAAAATAAAAATTATTTTTTATTTTTTAATTGTATTTTATTTAAAAAATTAATATTTAACATTATTTAATGACACTACATAAATTAGACAAAGATCGCTTATTGATGTAATTTTATTCCTGATTATATTTTACCTAATGTTATTGCACGCTTAATAAACTAAAAAAACTGTATTTCTTGTTAGATGTATTTTATAAGTGATGGAAATGTAGATAGTTTAATAAAACAATAAAAAATATTTTATATAAGTATTATTTATTTCATAATATAATAACAATAGTTAAATTTATAATATTTAAATTAAAAATCATTAATATTAATATATATTTTTTAAAATTATTTTATAATTTCAATTACAAAAGTATTATTAACCAAATTTATTAAATTATTTTTTGTTTAATCTCAATTTCAATCATATTTTTAATTAAATATATATAAATATCAAATCAATTTCAATTAAAAATATTTTTTATAAAATAATTTTTTTCAAATTAAAATCATAACAACAATTATTATAATATTAAACACACAACAGCTATTATAATATTAAACACATAGGTTTGTTGCAAGAAAGGTATTAGAATTTATCTCTTATCTATGAGATAGAACAAAGAAGCAAAGGAACGAAACGAGAATATGTTAGAGCTAGTATAAAATATTATTAAAAAGGAGACAAAAGCTTGGGAAGCAGAATGAGGATTTTAAGGTAATTGTGAAAATAGACTTGTAAATTAAAAGGGTGTGAATTTAATATATTACAAAGTTATAAGAAATAAATTATATTATATCAAAATGGGTTCTACTCGATCGTAAATAAAAGAATAATTATTGGTATAATTGACAAATATTATTAGTCTTGATGATGCAATCTTAATGTTGAATATTATGTGAAGGTTGAAGAATACTTTCCTTGAGAAATACTATAACTATAGGGAATTAATTTTATCATGATAATAAATGAAGTTCTTTTCTTTTTTTTTACCAATTTCCTGCATGAAGTCTTGGTATTTTATAAAGAAATATGTGCGCGTCACATGCTAATAATTTTGGTGCCTGAGCACCACACCGGAAACCAACCCACCCGCACATCATTAAGGTTATATTTTTTTATTTTAAATTAATATATTTTTAATATATTTAAATTATTTTGATATATTATTTTTTTAAATTAATATATTTTTAATATTTTTCAATCATTTTAATATATTATTATTAAAAATAATTTTAAAAAATAAAAAATATTATTAATATATATTTTAATATAAAAAATTATTTAAAAAATAACAATACCACACGGCAGAGAAATTTTAAAACAACCCGGCCCTGGTGCCCCCCACCTTAAAATAATTTCAAATGAACAGATAGAAACGGACAGCTAACCCTTGACTGGTGCATGCGCAAACGCCGTTATCCCTAGCCTAGAACAGGCAGGCACCTAGTTTTGTTTCTTAACAGCAAAAGGCAAGGACAACTACAAATATATCCTCTACTATATTTGCATTTCACAAGTCAGTCCCCCATCCTTAAGTTTCTTCTTTATTTGGCTAGGCTTTTCAGCTCCGTTAAGCATACGTTTATCTCTTTTTTTTAGAGCACATTTTAATTGAGGACTGATTTGAAGAGAGATTTTAAAGTGCTTTAGAGGTAACTACTTCACTGTGAGATAAATAAGAGATAAGATAAAAAAGAAAGATCGAGGAGTGACTTGTCAAAATAATTATAAATTGAGGACTGATTTATAGTTAAAATTAAAACAGAACCCCGCCCAGTCAAGGTCGTTTACGCGTAAAAATAATGTAATGAACAAGGAAGGCCGGTGGGAAACTTCCCTTCACAACCATTTTCTTCTCTATAAAATACCAAGGCAAACCCTCCTCTCTCCTTCACACCCACATCTCTTGCCTCCTCCTCACTTTCGTTCCCTCCCTCCCTGTTAGAGGAGAAAGAAAGAGAATAGCTTGACAAGCACAACAACGATAATGAGATTCTGGTGATTTCCTTTCTTCTCTCTTTCTTGTTTAGTTGAGGTATTATTAGTGTTGTTTATTATTATGGGGACTGAGGTTGCAAGGCCACAAGATTGCCTGATTGAAAGAATCAGAGTTTCTCCCTGTCGTCGGAGAAATTATTACTATGGAAACGGAAACGTTTCTAACCCTAACGCTTGTAGCACTAACAGCTACTGCAACAACAGCAACCCTAGGTTTAACAGAAAACCAACAGCGGTGCGGTTTGAGAGATCGGGCCAGAGAAAGAAACAATCAGAGCCTTCGATCTCAAAGAAATCAGGCACTGTTGATGATCTCAAGATCCCCAGGAACAACAAGGTGATGGAGAAGGTTACGATTTTACGGCGAGGAGAGTCGCTAGACACGAAGATCAAGAGCAGCGAGACTGCGTCCTTGAAGAAGAAACAAGGAAATGGTGGTGATTTTGTTGTTGCCAGCACGGACCGATTGGGTCCGGACCCTAAGGTGGTTTCAAAACAGATCAGGATCGTGGATCTGAGGTCTCCGGTGAGTGGAAAGTGTGACATGTACGCCGGATCGGCTTTTGCAGTGTCCCCGGCGCCGAGTTCGCTTCCTTTGCCGTCTTTTTCGAAGAAGAAGCAGGTTTCAATTGATGACTCGGCCACCAGGGATCTAAGGCGTCTGCTTCGACTCGAATGTTGAGACCCGGTTACCATCTTCGGGTCCGGATTCGGGTTTTCTTTCTTTCTTTCTCTCGAGCCCCTCTGCGCTTCGTCTTTGTCATGTCTCTCTTGGTTTGTGAAGGATCGGTTCCTCCCGTGAGTTTTTTAAAAAACAGGAGGCGGACCTGAAAATCAGGGAGAATATGGGGGCGAATTAGCTAAAACTTCTGGTAATTAGGGAGTTGTCTAGGGTTGAGAAATGAAAAGGAGGAGGGAATTGGGGGCGAATGTTGTAATATTTGGGGGAGTAGTGGGGGGGTTGTGAAGGAAGAAAATAGTGAAAGTTTGTGGAATGGTGTGAAGTCGTCGTTAGCCTAAAAAGGAAAGACTTCCCTTTTCCCCCTACTGATGTATTTTATGTAAAATCAAAATCAAGTTGAGATATACGGTCGGTTACCTTTCGGACATCTTCTATGTTAATAATAATTTGAATTGTAAAAATAATTATTTCCTTGTGTAATCCACCATCAATAATTAAATTAAATTTTATGGTTCCTACGAATATCATATTTATTTAAAAACAAAACACACACGCACACACACATATTAAAATTGATAAGAATATCTATAAAATTATTACTTGGAGCATCTTAAAAATATCTCTTTAGCTTCTTCACTGATGTTTTGGTTTTCTTCCCTAATTGATTTCAAATTCTTAAAATAAATTTATGTGAATCAATTTTTTCTTGGTCTACGTAAGAGGTTAGTTTTTAAAGTATCTGTTTAGTCATTTTACTCTTTCATCAATATATACATGTTGAACAATGACAAATTATTAAACTAGATCTTATATATTATGCATAATGCAGGCTTGTGAGCAATTTTGATGGCTTCAATGTTCTAAGATTAGTTCTTCCCAAACTGGAGAGATCCAAATAGAGAAATAATTCAAGAAACATGAATTATCCATGTAATTAAAAGATAACGAATTAATAACTAAAAAAGCTAGAAATCAGAAAAGTTAGAAAGCCACAATAAATCATCATGCTATTTCACTTGGAAGAATCAAGCAATGAAGAACAAAGAGAAACATATAATAACAAATGCTTTTGTGTGTTACCCAAAACTCAGGATCTATCAGCTTGCACCCTCTAACTCTGGCATCATCTCTTTAGCATCTCTCTCCTCATTGCATGCTGGGAAGATTTTAAGATTTGAGAAGAAAGTAAAGGCAAATAGGCAATGGTTGCCTGGTCTTTTTACTTACTTTATTTACAAAACCTGGTATGATTTGTTTGTGGTTTAAATTTCTCTGCTTTTTTTTGCAATTGATATAGCTTTGTAGATTGAAGAGTTCAGGTTTTTAGTTTTCTTGTTGCAAATAATTATATATATATATATAAAAACAGGTAAGTTTTATAGATTCCGAGTCAATTCTTCGAGTCAATTAGGTTTTATTAGGCTAAATTCTTAGCTAGTTTTTTATTAAACCCAGTCTCCTAGATTAATTTACTGATCAGTTTTAAAACTATAATTAAAAACAGATAGTTTTGACTATTTTGCTGTATATCATCTGTTTGTGCTGCTTTTATGTGGGTGGAGAAGAGGTGGTGGAGTCGGGGTCCTGCGCTGCATATATACAGTATTGGCTGTTGGGTACCGTTGGGCAGACGAGATAGAAATCTCGTCCAGTTTTGGGACTGTGGGCCTCTCCACTTTACAAAAATCTTAGCCGAAAACCATTAATGCTGTCAAGAATCTCTTGATTTCTCACTCCATCGTTTCATGGGCGCGCGCTAATTGGTATTTTTTTTTTTAATACATTTTTAAATTAAAATTTTTTTACAAAATAATTATTATCACACTTCTAAATATTTTTTTAAAAATAAAATAAATTTATTTTTGGGAACTTACATCTCTAAACAGAGATGAATGTAAAAAATCTGTTTATTTTTTTGTTTGAAAAGTTTTTTTTGAAAATATTTATTATTTATTATTTTAAATTAATGTTTTCATATTATGTTAAAACTAATTTTTAAAATATAAAAAAATAATTTTAATAAATTTTTAAATAAAAAATATTTTTAAAAAATAACAGCTACCATTGAAAGAATCGAGATAGGGCTCTTAGTGCTTGCATTGAAAGAAATTCTAAGGCAAGGCAAGGGATTAATTCCATAGAAAGGAGAGGAGTCTCATTTTTGACGAGGGACATATATAGGGTGGGTGGCACGCACCTTTCTCTATAAATTTATTTGCCTCTGCATTTCCCTACAGTAGAGGGGTCTATCTTGTATGTGCTCCGTGACATGCATGCTGTATATTTTTTATTTTATCTTCTATATATATATATATATATATTACATTTGGGTTTCAAAAAAAAAATACATATAGGGATATTTCCATCATTTTCATATGATTTATTGTAAATATTAAGTGAGGTCAAGAACAATAAGGTATTTGTATATATATATATATATAAATTATTATTTATATTTAGAAATAGCTATCGCATGTTGAGCACGTGCCAGCAAGTGGGCTATCACATGTTGAACACGTGCCAGCAAGTGGATGCTATTTTTATCCTTTAGATGGTATATTTATATAACCAAATATTGCCTTTCAGGACGACATTCGATGTCTTTTACCACCCCCAGCATAGTGACAAGGCACATGTTTCTAGGCAGACCATAGAGGAGCTCCGGCTGGAAGTTTTTCCCTCCCTTCCCCTATGAAAGTGTGTTGCCCATTGCAAAAAAAGAAAAGAAAAAAAAGGTTTAAATATTTGTCCTTCAATTGTTTGTTTAAGCTTTTTTTTTTAATTTTATCCCTTCACAATTGATTTTTAAATCAAATTTGATCCTTATTCTTTTAATTATATTGTATATGGTCTTGAATTATTTATCAAGTTTTGTTTTTCAATTTCATCCCTTTGTACTTGGTTTCTATATTAGATTGGGTACTCATTCTTCTAATTGTGATGTAATCCTTTATTGAATTGATTTGTTTTTGAGTTTCATTCTTTGACATTTTATTTTTAGATCAAATATGATTCTTATTTTTTTTTTATTTTTAGTTGTTCTATTTTTTTTTTCAATTTCATCCCTTATTATTTAGTTTTATTTTATTTTTATGTTAAATTTAGTTTTTTTCTTAAATCTATATTTTTTAAATGATTTTTTAATTGTTTTTTTAGTTTCATCCCTAATTATTTTGGATAGTTATAAGTTTTACACTGCTATTTTTTGAAGTTTGACTTTTACATTGTGATCCTGTATTATCTATATTACAAAATTTCTAAAGGACATATATTCGTGATAAGATAATTAATTATAGCATCCAAAATATTCTCCAACTTACAACTGTATCAACTCTTTTTTTTTTCTTGAGAAGGTAAATAAGCATAGCAAGTAATTAATTAAATTTACGCATCAATTTCACACAGAATATTCTCCAAGAAATCCTTTGAAAAACGAACTACAAACTATTATAAATGTCACCGTCGTCACTAAATGTTTCCAACACGTTTGATGAAAAATATAGTTAGAGATCATTTGTTGGTATATATACCAAAAAACAGAATATTTTAAGCTTTGCTTCCTGTGATACAAAAACTATAATATGTATTTTTTTTTCTCGATCTTAGTTTTTAAATCGTAATATAGCAAAATTCAATGCTTCAAGGTTTGGATTTGTAGAAGATGGCCACCCTTTCGAAGAGTAAAAGCAAGACTAATTTTCTTTTTGTGCACACACCATTGATTTTACGTAGAAGCAACATTCTCTCATGCTCAGCTCTCGAATCTGATCTATACAAATCCTATACGATAGATATCGATCCCAGTGTCTAGCTATATATACTTGCAAGGTGTGTTTCAAGAATCATCAGCAAGAAGATTAAGCACAAAACAGCAAGCACAAAGCTAGATAGACAAATGGCCACTAAAACCAGAGAAAGCTCCATCCAGGACAAGACATTTTCAGGAGTTGGAAACCTGATAAAGCTCCTCCCAACAGGAACAGTTTTTATGTTCCAATTCCTTAACCCTGTCTTGACCAACAACGGCCAATGCCACACCGTTAACAAGTATCTGAGTGGCATTCTCATAGGCCTCTGTGGCTTCTCTTGCTGTTTCTCTTGTTTCACAGACAGTTACAGGGGCAGTGATGGCTGGACTCACTATGGAATTGCGACCATGAAAGGGCTTTGGCCATCTTCAGATTCTGCCGGGATCGTCAGTGGACTTGTCAAGTTACAAGCTTCGAGTTGGTGACTTCGCTCATGCTTTCTTTTCCTTGATCGTGTTTGCTGTGTTGTCCCTGTTGGATAGCAACACAGTCGAGTGCTTTTATCCTTCTTTTGAGTCCACTGAGAAGGTGTTGCTCATGGTGTTGCCTCCTGCCATAGGTGCAGTTTCGGGTACCGTGTTCATGTTGTTCCCTAACAAGCGCCATGGAATTGGATACCCTTCAAGTGATTCTTCACAGGATTCTTAGTGATGATGAATACATCTATACTATAAACAAATAGTTTGCAAAAATCTTGAAGAAATTGGTTCCTGATTTGCAGCTCTATACCCTGAGAATGCTTCTTCGTCATTGAATTTGTATGATTGTTCAAGAATAGAAGAGGGAGGAATGGATGTATCCTTTCCCTTCAATATGTATAATAAGTTTGTATTTTGTGACTGTAAGAGGCAATGCGAATTGTCTTAATTCCATTTGTAAATTTGAAGCTGAAGACCAGTTCAGCTAATCTTCTTCACCCTGTACTAATCAATCAATCCTTCCATATATAATTATTTAAGATTAAATTCTTATTTGGTAATGTAATACAAAGTAAAATATATTAAAATAATATATGTATTTTAGTTTTATTTTTATTTTTGACATTAAGATATTAAAATCATTAAAAAAAAATTTAAAAATATTAATTTAATACTTATTCAATTAACAAACCATTTCAAAAGTATATTTAACCTCACAATAAGTGAATAAAAAGCAAACTTATCAAGGCTAAAGATTGGACATATCTCCCAT